AAAAAAAAAAGGTGATCCACAAACTGGACATTGTTGAGCAATATCGTTAATATAATTTCATTGCCACTGAATTGGAATGTATTTTAATTTTATAAAATTGTAAATGATACTATAGATCCCATGAGTTGTTTTGGCCGTATAATTTTGTTTGACTGGAAAAAAATTGCAAGAGTAAAAAAAATTCCTTTATCTAAGGGAATTGAGACATTACTAGTGCACTATAGATTTTTAAATAACAATTTTCTATCATAAATACATACAAAATCATGTTGAAATGGTATTATACAATCATTGAAGGGTGAGTGGAGAGTTTAATTTAATCTGTCCTTAATTTAAAAATATGTTTTATCTTTTAATAGCTGTGTGGAGTTTGACTTGAATGTAAACAATATTGTTGGAATAAGAAACACATTCCTTCTCAGAACTTATGCATACCGTAAGTTTTCAGTTTTCAAATGATCAGCTGGGGCTTTTTGTTTGTTTTTTTTTAACATTTGTTTTTGTCCCTCTTGTAATTTCTTCTTCCTTTCTAATGGAGTTTATAATAAACAGTGATCCTTATTTTGTTGTATTTAAATATACTGTTTTATATTTCATTATTTGAATATGTTGTTCTATTAATCAGACTAAGTGAAAGGTTAAAAGGTCATAGTTTTAAGGGAGCTCTGGTGGCCTAGTGGCAAGAAGCTGCATTGCAATCCCAGATGTGCCTAGTTCAAATCCACCAGATGCTTTGCTGGAGAAGGAGGGACAATCTCCTCCTGTACCAGTCCTGTACAATGCACAAAAAAATAGTAAATTAAAAAAAAAAAAAGAAAAAGTCATAGCTTTAAGCCACCAGCCGGGTTCTGTAGGAGAAAACCTAGTGGAGGGTCACTGGGAGTCAGAATTGACTTCTTGGAAGTGAATTTCATTTTTCTGTACAATAAAATCATGTATTACTACAGTTATAGGAAAAGAAAATATTTTTAAAAAAAATAATTTAAAAATTCCCGAAGTCTTAAAAGTTAGACATCTTTATGTTGAATGAAGTATTTCGTATACAGGAAGCCTTTGTATTGGGATAGAGTTGGGAAATGATATAGAATTTCCAAGTAATTATAAATATCACTTTTAATTTTACTTTCAGTTGAAAGTCGAGTTCGTCCGTTAGTATTGGTCATTAAGAAGTGGGCAAGTCACCATGAGATAAATGATGCCAGTCGTGGTACTTTAAGCAGCTATAGTCTTGTTCTGATGGTTTTACACTATTTACAAAGTAAGTATTATGGTGGTGGGTTCCCCCTCTCTATTCCTCAATTTTTAAAACTAAAATGCATTTAAACTTCTTTGCTAATTTCCCGATTGACTCTATGTTGTTTAATTAGTATTGTTTTAAAAAAAGTTGAGAGGGAGGCACTTATTCCATTTTGTTGGCTGGAATAAATGATTTTGGAGCATTACTTCCTGGAAAACAAAAACTTTCACTTTTATTTTTTTACTTATTTTTTTCTATATCTATTTTTGTATTAAAAGAACTTTTAGCACAATCCATTATCTTGAGGCAGACGTACTCAGAATGCACCATTCATTGCAGTTTTTCTTTCTCATCTTGATACAGGAGTTAAATAATTTTCTTTTTGATCAAAGAAGCTTTTAATTTCCTACCTGACTAAAATAATTTCTCTTTTGATTCAAGGGTATACTACCTTTTACAACTAGATTTTATCTTTATAAGAATATTGTGTCTAACTGACAAATTGACATACAAATTTTAATTCAGTCTAAAGTCAGTTGTCTTTTAGGTTACTTTGTTAAAAAAGTGTTAGGGATTAAGTGAGCACCTTAAGTAAGTGTCAATTGTGCCAGTCATGGCAAGGCTTTCTAAAATGTTGGAAATTCTCTAGGAATAGAGGGCTGGCAGGCCAGATTTGATTTGAACTTTTAGTTCTAATGTATACTTCATTTTAAATAATCTTCTATAAGGAAAAAGCCAAGAAATAGCAATTAAGCCATTTTATATAGTCTACTCATGTAGAGGAGGATAATAAGAGTTGTTAAAGATGACTTCACGCTGTTTTGTAGTTATTAGATTAGGAAGCCCGAGTTGTTTCATGACTAATTAGCTATTAAACAAAACAGACTTTCTGTGTTGAGTCAGTTCTGACTCATAGTGAGACTCTCTACGAGGTCTCTGAGGCAGTAGTCACTGTAAGTGGAAAATGCACATTTATCTTCTGTGGAGCAGCTGGTGGATTCTAACTGTCGACTTTTGGGTTATCAGCACATCACATAATGCATTATGCCACCAGAGCTCCTTAATTGGCTTACTAACCATGAATATCTGGTGGCCAGGGGAGAATATGATGTAGCAAAATAATTAGGAAGTCTAGGGCCTGATACAGTCTGGTTAATATTGTCAGTATAGACTTGTACTTCCCAAGTACTGTATAATACTCATTTATCAGTTTTATTAATAGCTTTGAGTATTAGATATTATTATTCAAGGATCTGGAGATAGATCAGTGAAGAAAATAAAAAAACAATTCTTTTCTTCTTGGCATTTAAATTTAACATTTTGAGTACCTTTTACAGGCCAGATACATTATTATTATCTGCATAAATTATTAAAAATGTCACAACTAATGAGATTGTGAGGCCAGTTTGAGCTTTATCTCACGATTGTGTGAAGTGGGTTGTTGATTTTTCAGCATGTAACAGCTCTGTAACCAGTTCTTTATTATTATCATCAGTGAAAATAACACATTGTTGCTTTGTTTGGCACTTTTGTCTTTAGAATCTGAGAGAGAGCAGATACAATATTAGCAGTTTTGTCATAGGCAGCCAAAAAACCAAGTGGTTTAAAGTTGAAACAACTTTGTGCCCTTAGAACAGCATTTCTGCACTTAAGATATTGGGAACTGGAGAAAGTAAGACACATTTTCCTTGGTAAATGTATAAGGAATGATCAGTATTGGGGAATATAGTTTCATTTTATAAATAATTCCTAGAAGATTGTCCTGTGAGTGACTGATTCAGTGGTAGTAAGTGTGTGTCTATTTTTGTAGGTTCTGCCTTACAAATAGCAGTAAATGTGTGACTGAACAAATTATTTCTCAGTTTCTTTAGTCAAGCCATACCATAATTATTCATTAGAGTCAATTAATAGCTACAAGTGACCACTCTGATTTTGCCCTTTTCCCCCCAAATTAAAATACTTAAAATGATGATTATTAAACAGTGGTGATATTGAAATATAATTATTTTACATTTTATGTTTTTATAAATTGTGCACGTACATCACAGAAAATGTGTGAGATTAAAATAGAGAGCTGGGGATAGAAACCTAAACAAAAAAATTGTATTTCTCCCAGCCAGAATATATTAACTATTAGTATTTATCTCCCAGATCTTCTTTTCTTTATAAGAATTCTAAAATTTTATTTTAGCTAGCCAGGCATTAAATTCTGTGTTTGTTGTTGTTAAGTGCTGTTGAGTCACAGGCGACTCATAGCGACCCTATGAACGAAAGTCCTTGACACTTGCGTGACCTTCATCCTTTCTCCAGGTTCCTAGGGTTTCCAGAGGTGAGCTATTTACGGAAGTGGATGCCACTCCTGCTTCCAAACTTGTTTTAACTGGGGAGCCACCAGACACTGTCCACCATGGGTAACCATTATCACATTTGGCACGTCAGTGTCACAGTGTTCAGCTTCACAGAAACCACAGATTACCTCTGTCTGGCAAGAGGACATACCAGGGCTATACAACCCAGAAGAATGTTTCACTAAAAACAATTAAAGACAGGCCTTAGGGCTACAGATTAGTCACCCACCTTTGGCTTTGTAGCATCACTTTCAGTCCATTAGGCCAACTGGTCTGTCTCTATGTTGTTAAGTGCCGTCGAGTCATAGGAGACTCATAGCGACCCTATGAACGAAAGTCCTCGACACTTGCATGACTTTCATCCTTGCTCCAGGTTCATAGGGTTTCCGGAGGTGAGCTGTTTACAGAAGTGGATGCCACTCCTGCTTCCAAAAAATACTGTGTTTAGTTGACTTAAATTTCAGCTAATTTGTTAACATTTGCTGTTTCACTTTGGAAAAATAGCCTTCTTATTTAGTCGTCTTAAAGTTTTACCTGTGCTCTTTGACAATAATGAGGATTCCTGGTGGTGCCATAGTTAGCCTGTGTCTGCTAACTGAAAGATGTGTAGTCAGTCTCACTTAGTGACTCCCTGGGAAAAGACCTGGCAGTTTGCTGTCACACACCTTTTGTCTAGTTATAGCTGAGAAAACTCTTGAAGAGTTACACTCTGTCACTTTGGGTCACTGTGAGTTGAAATTGACACAGTCAACACCTAATAACCACATGACACTAATTTCCCTAGGTTTTAAAATTTCATTGATAGTTATTTTTATGTGCCTTCAAGTTGCTTGTGACTCATAGCAACCCTATGTACAGCAGCCCTATACCTGCTCTATCCTGTGCCTTAATCTTACTGTCTCCAAGAAACCTACGCCCAGTATCCCAGTCATTGAATCAGTACACCTCATTGAGGGTCTTCGTTTCTTGTACTGTCCTTCTACCCTCCCAAGCATGATGTCCCTTTCCAAGGTCTGGTCCCTCCTTGCAACGTGTCCAAAGTATTGTCAGACGAAGCTTCAGAATCCTTTCTTCCAAGGATCAGCCTGGTTTTATCCTCTCTAGGACAAACGTGTTTGGTCTTTTAGCTGTTGATAATATAATCGATATTCTTTTCTAGCACTACAGCTCAAAGGCATCAGTTCTCTTTATATCATTCATAGTCATTGTCCAGCTTTCTGATGCATAGCAAGTAATTGCAAAGATCATGGCCTGAATCAGGCGCACCTTAGTCTCCATACTGACATTGTTGCTCTTCAGTACTTTGGAGATATCCTTGACAGTAGATTTTCTCAGTGCAGTTTGACTTTTAATTTCCTGGCTGTTGGTACCAAAAGTGTTGACTGTGGAGCCAAGCAAACTGAAGCTGTTAACAATCTCAATCTCTTCATTGTTTATGATCCTGCTGCGATTTGGCCCAGTGGTGAGAATTTTTGTTTTCTTGATGTTGAGCTTCAACCCATATTTGAGGCTGCAGTCCAAGTCCTCAGTTTTAGCAAGCAGGGTTGTGTCATCTGCATAATGCAGATTGCCGATGATTCTTCCTCCAATCCTGATGCCACATTTTTCCTCCCAGATAATCTGTTCTGTATATAAATTGAAAATTTATGGAGATAGAACACATCCCTGGCATATCCCCTTCCCAATTTTGAACCATGCAATGTTTCTTTGGTCTATTCTAATGATTGCCTCCTGGTCCAAGGATAGGTGTTGCATAAGCATGGTCAAGTGTTCTGGGATTCCCATTCTTCTCAGAGTGAACTACAGATTCTTGTGATCCAGACAGTCAAATGCCTTTGCATAGTCAACGAAACACAGATAGACATTCTTCTGGTACTCTTTGCTTTCAGCCAAGATCCATCTAACATTAGCTATCATATCCCTAATACCACGACCTCTTCTAAACTGCACTTTGCTGTTCTAGTCGTTTTTAGATAATTTTCAGCAGAATCTTGCTTGCATGTGATATTGATAATATTGTTTGATAATTCTACTCTCTGTTGGGTCATCTTTCTTTGGAATGGGAGCAAATATAGACCTCTTCCAGTCAGTTTGTGAACTGGTTGTCCTCCAGATTTCTTGGTATAACTTGGTGAGTACATCCAGAGTTGGAATAAATCACTCGATATGCTGTCAATCTTGGGGCCTTTCCCCCCCCCCAGTTCTTTCAGAGGAGATTGAACTTCTTCCTTTATCACCACAGGTTCTTGCTTATATGTTGTTTCATGAAAATTATTCTGTGTCTGTCGATTCCTTTTGGTACAGTGACTCTCTATACTCTTTCCATCTTCCTGGACCATTTAATATTCTCTCCAATGCATCCTTAACTATTGCAATTCGAGGCTTGAATTTGTTCTTCAGTTCCTTCAGCTTAAGAAATGCTGAGCAAGTTCAGCCCTTTTGAGTTTCTGATTACAGCTCTTTGCTGATTTTATTGTAGTATTTTACTTTGTCTTCCTGTGATGCCTTTTAGTAAAATTCCAAAAAGGGAACATTCCTAGAGATTAATTTCCTCATTTGGGTAATTAAGTATCAAAATAAAAATAATTAGTATTGCATACTATAATTTAAATATTTAATTTCTGTCAACTGTTCTGTCAGAAATTGATCGAACATGTAACCAAGATGCTTTAA